TACACTTATGACATGTTTTACTTAGATCTTAGCATTACTACAAGTTACAAAGTTTTCTGAACAGTCGCACAGTAATGCTTACTGGGTGTATCTACATGGGATACTTTTCTGTGCAGTGAACTAATCAACTGTGCAGTAAAGAATCAGTGTCTACATGTGTGCACCATTTACTGTGCAGTAAAATAGTCTACTGCGCAGTTAGCTACTACCCAGGTAGTAAGCTAACTGCACAGTAGATACTGTGCACTGGGAGCAAATTTGCTCCCAGTCAGCCCCATCACTAGGGCGCCACAGGGGATGGGAAATTCCCCTGGTCAAGGTACTACTCAGCTCCTGGCTCCTCCAGAAGCTGAGAGCAGAGCAGCACCCAAATGACGTAGCTCTCTGCCTGCCCTCTGCAGCACTGGGACTCAGGAGCTCCCTGCTTCCCCACACATCCTGGGGCTAGATGGGAACTGTCCCTTCTGTGGCAGCTTCCAGTCAACTCCAGGGCAGAGATTTCCCCAATCAGCCCAGGGCTGACCAGGAACTGTCCCCCTTCTGGGGCAGCTACCAGCCAGCTGTGGGCTGCACCCCCACCCAGGCCAGAGCTGGCTGGGAGCTGCCCAAGAAGTGGGGCATCTCTCAGCCAACAAACCCAAGCTATGCAGGAAATCCCCTTTGGGCATGAGCTTTGTTCCCACAGGCACAGGGTGCGGAGAGCTCTGCAGCAGCAGCTGTCTCCTGGCCCCACACACTTCAGGACCCCTCCCCATGTGTATGGGGCAAGGAGACAGCTGCCACTGCAGCCAGCAGATCTCTCCTGGCCCCACGCACAGGGGGAATGGCCCCATGCTCCCTGCCAACCCCTGAGATAACATCCTGGAACAGTCTGGAGCTCTCACTCAATGCAGCAGGGGGCCAGAGCAGGATAGGAGCAACCCTGGCTGCTCCTATTGGGAGCACATTTAGACATGCTCCCAGGAAAAGCTTACTGCACAGTATTTTACTGTGTGGTAAGCCTTTTTAGCATTAACAGCATGTAAGCATGTCCTCTATGAGCTAAATAAACATATCCTAAGTGTTGGAACTATGAAAACTTCAGTGCACAGCAGTGTGCTGCAACCAATAAACTGCTGTTTGTGGATTCCAGATCCCACAGTACACAGGAGTCTTCTGATTGTATGACCACCGTAGAACAGTTAGACATTAGCTTAACACATTCTGTAATACGATCTGGAGATACTCCTTGCTGGAAAAGTCCTAAGTTTACTATGCTATGATGGTGCTTAGCACATGCTTTAGTGCTTGAACACAGGGATGCTAGCCTTTTTAAGTGCATTTAAAATGTCCTAAGTGGAATGTGCAACAAGGGCCAAATGCTACACTGCATTGCCCCACAGTGCGTACATCTACACGTGTGCTTTAATGCACAGTAGCCTATTATGCTAATTCACAGTATAATAGGCTACTGAGCATTAAGTGTCACTTTTAAAACGTGCTTTTGGTACTGCACATTAGAGGAACCTAATACACATTTATTTAATACCTCACATGGGAGGTACTACATTTAATGCACATTAGGAAAAGTGCATTAATGCACGTGTAGATATGCCCAGTTACTGACAACTGTGGGAGGAGGACTGAAATGGAGACTCTATTCAGGACACCTGGGGCAGTGGTAGGAATCTTACTTAGTAGAAGTTGCTACCTAGTAGAAATTGGCAACTGACTAAAGGTCCAGTAGTTTTCTTTGTTTCAAACTCTTGGACTTTGTGCTTATGAGTGGGGAAGTATTGCCTATCAAAGAAGGTAATTTATTTTTCTTGACTTGCCAGCCTGGACCTTTTTGCTGCCAACATCAGGTAACGATTGCTGGAATTTCAAATGTTGCATGTATTAGAATATTTTCATTTATTGTAAGTGTCATATCTTTATTTCACATTCATAGTTTAAAGACTTTACTTTCTCCTACCCTGACAAATGTGAGTGTCTGCTGCCACACAATCATTTTCCAAAGCTAATGAATAATGGTCCTATCACTAATATGCTTCATGACATCTGTTTTTTTCCTCTTCTGATTTTCATTGTGTAACTATGGAAACTGAGGGTTCATACCTCAGTAGCTCACAGAGGAGCAGGCAAGGTAATTTTATTAATTTTATTAAATCCTCAGGATAGATATGTTTTGCTTCATCAGTAATTAGAAGCAATCTAACTTTGAAGATGTCTTATTAAAACCAGTAGAATGGTCTTTTTCAATTGCATGACAAAGTAGGAGCTCCTGGGAACATTGTAAACAATGACTCACACTTAATAAAACGGCTCAGTCAGGAAGCTTATTTGTTTATCTTCATATCTAGGTTTTTATACCATACCCATCACTCTGGTATATTAATATCTTGTGTGCATTATGCAATTACCACCCATTTCAGTACAAGGAGTGGTTCACATCACCTAGCACTCTGAGAGGTGCCTTGAGGAGCATGTCAAAAGATGACACTTAGCAGATGACTAAAAGAAACATGGCTATAAGGACCTATTCTATGTAGAAGAAATCTAGAGTCGCAGTGAACCACCATAAAGGCTTCTGTATCACCTTTCCAAGCCTCAAGATAGGTAATAAAGCTAAAAAAGAGGGTGTCACCAAGGTGTCATCAAGGTAATCTCAGCTCTGAGCTGACTTTAGACAATATAATGAGCTGATAACAATTCCAGTAGCCTTGAGACACATGTACCTTATACAGGGACCATTAACCAAGTAATCCCAGGACTGAGGGGCTGCAAAAAGCACTTTTGTGTGCCACCTCTCCCACCCCCACACCCTGCCCTCAGCTGAACCATACACTGGATCTAATCTAGCATGTTTTTATTGTGCTACAGTTTGGAAAAGAGAAGCATCTCACCTAGGATACCACTTCAGTAAAAACATATTTGCTGATATATGCAATGATCCAGAGCCTGGTCCCTTGTTCCTCTTGCTATGTGTGCCTGGTAAGTCCAGCTTTACCAATAGCTTGGTAAGTCTCTGGATAACAGAGATGTTAATTTGTGGAGCTAATTACCACAGAATATTGGAGAGACCACGAAGGTAGCAATACATAAAAAATAATTGGATACTTACATGAATAGCAAATATATACAGAGTTATAATGCTGATTGTTAACATACATTTTGAAAGATATATTAAATATCATGCTTCATGGGTATGAGAACAAGAGGAAGATGAATATGTGGGGTACATTATCCCACGTCTGCTGACCCTATAGTTATTTTTAACTTTCCTCTGAAGTATCTGGAGGGGTGACACTATCCAGGACAGGATACTGGGGGTAATGGGCCTTCAAGCCCATCCAGTATGTTCCTACAAGGGTAATGCTTGGGAAAGAGCATGGCTAAGCTGTCACTGTGCTCCAGCCATCCTTGTTGATGGCATGGCCAACCAGCCTCCATGAGGAAACACATGAAGGAGTGTCAATTAGGCTAGGACGGACATTACACATAAACCGGTTTAAGTAATCACAAACTGGTTTAAACCTGTAACAGAACAGATGTGAACATAAACCAGTTTGAAAATGGCTGAAACCAGTTTGAGATAAACCTGGTTGAATGTAGTATCAGACTTAACTGATTTGGCTCAAACCAGTTTATGCAATGTCTGTCCCAGACCCCTTGCTGGTTTAAGTTAAATCAGAGACACCCCCCTCCCAGCATCCCAGCATCCCAGCATGCTCTCTGGGCTGGGCGGGGCTCTCTGCTCCACAGCAGGGCTGGCCCCTCCCCTCTGCTCCCTGATCCTTTCCTCCTCTCTGCCACAGCAGGTGGTATGTTAGCTAATGCCAAGAGGTGTCGGTGTGTGTCTCTCTCCAATTTTACTGAGCTAAGCAGACAGAATAGTGACCCCTTAGGGCTTTTGGAGCTATTCAGCAGGTTAGCTGGTAAGGTGTTTAAGAAATTTAAAGTATTGTAGAAAGAGGCTATTGTTTTGCTAATCAGGTGATAAAAACTGTTATTAGTGTGTCCTCCTCATTGTCCCCCACTCCTCACCCAGCTGTCTTGTTCCTCTATCAGTTTGCTGCAAACAGTATGATGAAGCAGGAAGGAAGATTGAAAAGCTCCATATCATCAACAGATGCATTCACTGAACAACCCCCTTACCTCAGAGTGCTAGCCTGGGGCTGGCAACACTCCCACCCCTTAAGCAGCCAGGGGGGAAAAGCCTGGGACTGTGCAGGCAGACCTCCCTAATGAGAGAGTCCTGCCAGGGCCTGGCCACACCCTCCTCAGCTCACCTCCCCGCAGAAGGGAAGGGAGGGCTGCTCTAGTGCCCCCCACTGCCTCAGCTTCTAGCCTGAGCCACTGCAGGCACGTGCCTGAATTTCCTCAGTCTACAGAGAATGTCTGTCCAGTTTCCAATTGGTTCAGGCTAGCCGGGTTAGACTAACCTGCAAAGGTTGAATCAATTCAGGCTCAGGCTTTTTGAACGTCTGTCCCTAGCCTTAGAGACTGGGAATTCTATCTGCCCTGTTCACTCTTTGTAGGAACCAGGAATTGAAATTCAGGCTTTCTTGACATCAATGGCAAAACTAGCATTGACTTCAAAGGAGCCAGGATTTCATCTAGGTTTGACCTTGAGCAAATGAAGTATCACCTAAAATGTTTATGGTAGGTATAGAGATGTGTATTATCTTATGGACTGAAACATGTCTGCTTTTTAAACCTGAATATATTGGAAGGGATCTTGCATAAGTCGCAACACTCCATTTTGTAGGCAACGATGTCACTAAAAGGAAAGTTCCACTTTGTGTTGCTCAGAATGTATTGTAAGTGTGGTGTCATGGTGCACAGGACTTGTGCTAGCCCCATGTATAGGGCTTGCCATACATGAATATCAAGTTGCAGTTTGTACCATTTACAGAAGCTTGATTCTCTTGCAGTAGCACATGCTACATTGCTCAGGCTGCACATCAAAGGTTTTCAGAACAAAATAAACAGTGACGGCATGAGGAATATTCACTTACCTAGAGGAGATTCAACCAAAATAAGAGTTACAGTCGCATTCTGTGGCTTAGACAATGCTCCTATATCAGCTAAACAAGTCAGAGTCTCATTGGTTAATGGAGTCAAAGTTAAGATGCTGGTTGTATTGTGAAGGCCATTAGATTCTTGACCGTGTTCAGTAATATACATCGATTTATCTACGAAAGAGTTATTTATCTTCCAGGTAATGTTTGGAGCTGGAGCCCATCCTAAGGCTTCACAAAAAATTTCAATTGTTTTGTTCACTTTTACTGTCAAGTTGCTATCTTTGATGAACAAAGATCCATTAACTGTAGGAGGCAAAAATGTTTTCTTTCTTCAGAATATTTAAATAAATGCTTTGCTACTGCCAGCTTTAAATCTCTTTCGATAACAGAAATCAATCATGTTTTGAAATGTACATTAAAAAACCTATAAAATACTGGTTGTCTCATTTTCATGAGACAAACACAAAGCTATTGCAATTTCTTGCCCATGTTATATTCCATTTTGACATTAGGCTCAGTTTTTAGTGAAAAAGGCTGGAATTATATTTCTCTATTAGTTTTTAAAGCATTTCTTCAGGTCAATCAGGAAGCAAATTATAGAAGGCTCATATTCTCTTGGTGTTAGGTACTTTTCTTTATAACAAATTAACAGTGGTCAGAAGGAAGATTCTACTTGATTGAATGCACATGCAATAGTGATGATTGAGAGAGCTTATATAGAAAGTACTTGATACGCAGGATCTTATTTTTTCTTGGTTGCTGTAATGTATAGCAAAAGTCATAACAAGAAGGGTATAACCTTGTGTCTCAGAGACTACACTTCTGCACTCCCTTGAATGAACCACAAATAAGCTGGCTGGATGCTGCCAATTCCTAAATCAGAAGTAGAAGGGAAGCTCTGCATTAAATACCAAATATGGTTTATGTACAAAACTGAGCAAAAATCCATAAAGATTCTGATCAGAAGAGATTTTGACTGATAAATGGAGCTGTTATTAACAGGCTTCTGGCACTCTCAAGCAATCCAAGAAAGAATAAGAGAGGCTATGGAAAAAAGAGAGCAGAATTGAAATCTTTTATAGCAGCAGCCTGAATATGAGTGGGAAAGCTGCTATGATGCAAAATTACTGAAACAGCTTTCAAAAGAAGAGACATAGCAGATACAGGACATTAAATGAAAGAAGGAAACAATATATAGGGACAATCTGGGCAATGTGCCAAAGGCTATGTTTTAACAGTAATTTAATATGATTTCTTTGACATGAAAATTCATACACACCTTGAACAGTAAGAAATGCATAGCCATTTTCACTACCGCCTTGACTGCTGCATTCTATTTTCCCAGAATCACTCTGACGGACATCATGGATAATCAGCTCTGAGGTAAATTCATTACCAGCTGTATAATTTTGAGAGGTGAAACGATTATCTGTTATAACAGGTCCTGTAGGATTAACTACAGTAAGAACAAGTTTCCCATTTGAAAGCCAAATGATGATTTTCCAATCCTGTGAGACAGTGCAGTTAAACCGGGCCTCCGAACCAGCTAGAACTGTTGCATTCGCAGGACCCCGGACAATAGTATAACAGAAGCCAAGACCTGGGAGGGAAAATAAATCCAAGAATTATAAGCATAGAAATACAAATGTCAGTGTAATGCTCTGGCTTGCTTAGTTTATTCTGCAAGATACTGTTACAAAATGATAATACCGTGTTTACTCAGTTCTAAGATGGGGGTTCCTTTCTCCCATTTAACATGAGGGAAAAAGCCCTTCATCTTAGAAATGAGTACAAAGGGGTGGGGAGGAGCAGGTGACTGCTGTGGCTACCAGCTTGTTTCCCTGAATCTCCCCACCTCCCACAGCCTCTGTCCCTCTCCCCACCCCACTCCCTCTACCCCTATGTTTGTTCAGTTCTGACAGACTCCATCCACACTGCAGCTTAGGATACTAAGCACAGCTCCAGCCCAGCCCCATAGCAGTGATGTACATAGCCTGCACAGCTGCTATGGGACCAGGCTGGTGCCCCAGGCTTGAACAGGGATGGAGCCTGCTGGCATGAAGCCAAGATAAGGGGAGAATGGGGGAGCCAAGTCTGAAGGGAGCAGAGGATGGAGGGAAGGGGCAGGCGGGGGAGCAGAATGGGAATGGGGGCCCAAGACCCTGGGAGTGGAGGCAAGCAAGGAGTAGGCAGGTGGAAGAGGTGACAAGAGAGCAGGTACACGCAGATGACAAGCTGCTTGATCTTCCCATACCACCTGCGTGCCACTGCCTGCCCCCTGCAGAGATAGGGGTGAAGTAAAGACAACCGCCCAATAATTAGATTATATACATGGAAAAATATACCAAATTTATCATTTTTCCTATATAGAATCTAAGTCGGGGGGAGGGGGTTCATCTTAAATTCAGGGTAGTCTTAAATTAAAGTAAATATGGTCCTTTTGGTATTGCATAGATGTAAGCATTTGACACCTGAAGAGAATGCCTATTAAAGGCAACCATCACTGTATCTAATCTAACAGCATATATCCAACAGTGGTGAATATCTAATGTTTGGAGAGCAAGTTTTAAATCCCAACTATTAGCAATAACTGCCACTTTAAAAAAATGAATGTTGAAATGGAGTCAAGGTTGAGTATGGTTGATGGTATATCAGTAATCTGCAGAAAATACATTACGGGGTTCTTGTAATGTCATCCCACAGTCATGGGGGACACAGAATTTAAATAAATCCAGAGCTGGTGTATAGCCCACTGCCAGTTTTGTGTGGGGATAGATACATCATTGTCATCTAGTGATGGAACACTCCTAGCCCACCTTAGAACCAAGCTGTGTTAAGTTAGCCAATCATTAGTGAAAGGCTGCTGACTTGTGAAGAGGTGCCCCAATGAGATGGGCATTCTGCAGAACAGATAAATAAGGAGTCCCAGTGTCCAACTTCCTCTATACTTTGAGGGTTCCTCATGCCATGCTGCATCAATGCACAAGGAGAGCAAGACAGAAATGCCAAGGGGAACTTTTCCAGAACCAGTGCCCAAAGCATGCAGTCTTTAGGATAGCAGGATTAAGTAGAAAATTCTTCCTACAGTCTCCCATTAAAACTAACAGAATTGCCTCATAAAATTAACTGTAGAGGAAGGATAGGGTGCAGACAGAAGTGCAGCTACCCACTATAACTCGGAACACTTTGCAGGAAGCGTTCTGAGTTACAAAGATCCCTCAAACCAAACAGAAGTTCACTGTTGGTTCTAAGAGGGAGGGAATCCAGCTGCTGGCTGCCCGCCTGCAGCCGGTTTCCCCTAGCAATGGCCCCTCCTCCCTGCCAACCTGTCTCTATCTTCAGAATGGGAGTGGTGGAAGGGAGCAGGAGCCCATTCTAGGAGTTCCCCAGCCAATACTGGACAGTGGGGTGGCTGAATTGGAGCCCCCCAAGACTGAACTCTCTCCGCTCCCTTTCCCCTATCCCATTCTGAAAATAGCAACAGGCTGGCAGGCAGTGCAGACAGAAGTTACAGAAGATGCTTTGTTTTGAAACATCTTCATCTGAACCCTCATGCAATGAGGGTTCAGATTTTGCCCAATCTAGCATTTTTGAAGCTGTCTGCAGCTGTGCACTTGTATTGGTCATGGCTATAGAACACTTTCTGTGGCCAAATAGGGCAAAAAATTGTCACTTCTGTCTGCACCCATGGTGACCAAGTTATCTTGGATGTCACAATAACTCTATTTAAATCACCCAATACAGTTTGTTGCTTATACATCATAGCAATTAGACACAATTGTTAATAACTTACGTTGTCTTTACACATGCTCTGGGGGTGGGAGGAGAGGTGCTTTAGAGAGGCTTCAGGAGCCCTTTAATTAAAGCATCTACAGAATTTCATGTAGTCAGCATCCCACACTTCAAAATGGCATCGGGGTGCTTTAACTTAAGTTTGTTTGATAAGCTTTAGTTAAAGTGCCCCCACCACCATTTTGAAGTCCAGGGATGCTAAATACATGAGACACCAAGGCTGCTGGAGTGTGTTAATTAGCATACTCCAGCAGCACATTGGAGTAGGCATCCCACACATCTGCAGGCACCCTTAAAGCCCAATTTCTGCAAACATTCATGAGATTTCAATTTTTTTCAATTCTGTCAAAGGTTTGAAATGTTTCTTATTCCAGTGGTAAGACTATTCAGGACAAAAAAAAAAGACTGATATAAATGATGACAGAAGTATTTAAAACCCAGTTTAAGTTCATTTAAACTCAACATTTTACTTATAAATTCTCTGAAATTGCATTTTGTACACTGTCAGTTTGGGAGAATATGCTATTTTTTCATACAAAACTGAAAAGACATTTAAACCCTGTATAATTATGAGGTCATTCCCAGCATCTCTATAATTCAGACAAAGATCAATTTTTCATTTTAAGCAAGTTATTCAGAAGATATTCTGATACTAACAAAATATGTAAGGCCACTTTCTCTATGACTTTTCTATTGTACCAGGAAGGGGAAATAGAGGGCACAATATCAGAACTTTGATTGGGGACCCAAGCACCAACTGACCAGTGATAAAAACATGCCCTATTCTTAAGAATTATTTACTTTCAGTCTGTGATATGGCAGCATAATATTATCAATTGAAAAAAGTACATTATATATTTTTTCTGCCAGTTCTCCCATAGGAAGACAGTAAAAGGAGTTATAGGAATAAAAGATTCTGTACAAATAGATTTGCTTTTATGAGCACAAGACTGAAAGGACTTCCTGGGTCATCAAATCTATCATACAATCTCTTTCAAAAAATGTTACCAAACTCCAGCTTAAAGGTATCTGGATTATTTGCTCCCGGTGCTCTTAGTAGAAGGCTGATTCAGAACCCCTCTGCTCTGATTTTTAAAACCTTTTAATTACCAATCTAAATTTATTCATATCCAGTTTATACCTATTTGTTCTTGTGTCCTGAAGCATAAATAACATTTTCCCCTAAGAGTTTGGCCTCTGACATATTTATAGAACAGTCATATCGTCTTTGAGAATATGACTGTTCTGATATGATACATAAGATGAGCTCTTTCAACTTCCTGTTGTATGATAATCTCCATTTATTCATGTTCACAGGAAGTGCCATAGAGGTTATCTTTGCAAGTTTCCATTATATTATTTTCCTCTGCACAGCAATCTCCTAAATATATCTAAGCTAAGAACTTTCAGTCAAAATTAAAATGTGTTTCTATTCCTAATTCTCAAATCAGATAACACACCACAGATCACCTTTCAGCAAACAGTGCATTTCTCCTGATAGCAACTACCTTTATTACACATAGTTATTGCACCTGTTGATCTATAATGCTTTAAAACACTCAGCCTAGGGACAGAAGTTACACATAAACTGGTTTAAACCTGTAAAGGCACTTGTACATATGACGCCATTTTACCATGTACACATGATGAAAATGTCACTGTGTGTGTCACACTGTAAACGTGCAAGACTTTGGGGGTTTAAAATGAGCTTGCATCATTGCAAACTAAACTACATCCCGATGCATGTGCCTGCTGAAGGCAGAAGCGGCGAGAGGCCTGATCCTTTTTTTCTTTTTTCAGCAGAGCCTACCCACCTCTCCCATGACCAGGGGGCAAGCTGCTGGCAGGCTGAGCAGCCCCTGAGCTGTGAGAGGACCTAGTCCTTCTCTCTGTGGTGGCGCTACCCCTGGGGGCTCCCCAGGCAGGCTGCTAATGGGCCAGGTGCTGCCCCAGAGCTGGGTTGGGGAAGAGTTGGATTGGGCCAGGTGCTGCCTCTACGCTGGGGCAGCACCTGGCCCACTAGCAGCCCATCCAGGCAGCCCTGGGGGGCAATGCCACCACAAAGGGAAGGACTGGGTGG